TAATTTCCCACCTACCCCGTGAAGATACATGCCCTGACATGCAGCAGTCAAAATCATCATACAACAAAAATTCATCGCTGGAATTTCGTCAAATTAAGTGTCAAAGCAGTCATTGGTAACCGCACTGAACCCATCATCAACTCACTGCATGCAAGATCTGGTTTGGTGGACTACCCAGAATCAAAATAAGCATCAAAGTTGTGTCCTTTGGACACTTCTTCACTATTTGATATTAAACCAAGTGGGATCCCACTGATACACCAAGTTGCCTTTGTAAGGGAGATGTGAGAAAAAAAGTGTGGTCATATAAACAAGGTGAAATGTGTTCGTAAAATGAAAATGACCTGAAGAAATAAAATGGTGATTACTATTTTGTTACAAAAAAGTCAAGTGCAGATTTAGTGTTGTGTGCAAGGTAACTATGGTACAGAAGAAGTCACTTTATCAATTTGTTGAGACATATCCATGTAATGTGGTAACCCAGTGACAAACTTGGGAGTTGTACAGGTGCTATAGATGTGAACATTAATAACAGTGAAGTGTCAAATCTAAACCAATATAACATAACAAAAAAACACACATACACCCCAGAAACTATACAGTATGTAATTCTTGTATGAAATATTACCGCAGTTTCATTACGGCATGTAATATTTATTTTCCTCTTTTTTTAAAAGTAATTCAAGCTTCGAATTATAAAGACAATAGAAACACAGTGTCCTGGTTTCACGGCCACAAGCGTATAGTCAACATGATAACATTCTCTGCCCTACTCCAAACAAACAATTCTCGGCCATGAAAGCTGAAAAATTGGTGCACGTGGTTACCAAGCACATCAACTGACCCTTTCCACAATTCTAATGTGCAAGGTAAGGAAACCTCATTAAAATCATCAAAGGCAAGAAGCTCATGAATTGCAAATGCAGTCACCTCGCGGCACTTTGCTTCTCTTGGGCTTCAATGTCAACCTTCTGTCTATCTGGCTTGACCCTTCCAACGTGAAATAGGCCCAGGACCCTTGACGTGTTGCACGTGGCAACTTATTTACGTGAATAATTCAGTGTGTTTATTTTATTGCAAACAGGAAGAAAAACATGAAACCGTGTATAATATTAGCATAAACGTCCTTAATAAGTAATAAGTAAAAAACTGCAAGACGTCTATATATATGCCACTAAATAGCATCAACCACGTGTGCAATTTGTCTTCTGGCGTGAAGGTTACAGGAGGCGATAGCAGCTTAATGCAGAAGCATAGAGCCTAATTAATTATACATATGCCAAGATTCACGCCACTGGAGGAATTCCTGATCACAATGATAAAATGTGGTGTTGTGGAATGTGATATACAGTACATTGTATTAATGAGTAAATACCGCATGTCAATATACATAAAGGGGTTTTAGTATTTAATAAAAAAAAATTGTCAGATGAAAAGTTTACATTGTATACCGTCGTGTATCTCATTAATTGTGCATGACATTTATTTATATCAACGTGGAACATTCAAACAGAATTTTGTATAAGTGCCTACATGGTTTTTTTGCTTTTTCTGGAATGAATTGCGCTGCTACTCTTACAGCATCGCTGTTGTATTTAATGCTGCCCTTGTATGTATGTTGTGTGTATGTTGTATGTATGTTGCACTTCTTTCACACCGTACGTAGCCACCCATGTTAATCGGAGGTGCGGGGAGAAGGACAACAAACTAAACACAAAAAAGTAGTTAAAGAACTGTCCTTGCAGCAGTGCTGTGGTATTTAACGTGCCCAAAATGTCCTATTTTTTAAGGCACATGCTCATTTATAGTTAACTACCATAACCGTTAAATTGACATCACATGGAGTAAATCCAATTTGCCATTTAATCCTTTCGTCATTAAATGCTATACAAAAAAAATGTAATAATATACTATTGGTAACGTGGCATTAACATGATTGGCGAGATGTTAACTATCTCGCCTGGTATTTAGGAGGTTGTGGGTTCGATCCCAACCCTGAAGCCTGTATATTTGGAGTTTGCATGTTCTCCCCGTGGTCGCATGCATTTTTATCCGGGTCCTCCAGTTTTTAGTGCCACGTTTAGAGTATGTGGCTGCTATAAATTTCCACATGATAAGCCAATTCATGAAGCTATAATTTGTGGCCAGGTTGCTTTTGAAAAAGAGCTATATGGCTCCGTGGGCCTTAGCTGGTAAAATACAAATAATTTTAATCGTTTCGTTTTTTTTAGTTTAGTTAGATACGAGAGTTCAATGGAGTATACCCTTCAAGGATATACATTGGAATGTCACTTATTTGTTTTTACTGTAGGTGAGAAATGTATGGTCAATTAGTTTGAAAGCTCAATAAATGATGAGACGTTAACAATTTCAATATTTAAATTTCCACGTTGTTCGCGGCACTAATTAATTACCACTGAATGACATCATATGCTACTTATTTTAATTGTAAATACATCACCGATGTCATTGTGTCCGATTTTTTTGCGTGCGTGATTGTGTCTTACACGCGCATGTCATGTCTTCCCAACCAGAAAAGAAGCAGTTCTGTGCAAAAAAAAAGCATCATTCAGTTTTGTAATGGCATAAATAAAAACTGCACAAAAATACACACGTTTCCAATTACTGGGCACAGCACTGTGTTGTTTGCAATGTCAGCAGCCGAAAATATGCAGGTTTGAAGGTATAGGAAAGTGAACTGGGCGGTTAAAGCTTTATTGGAAAAGTCAAGATAAAAATACTCTGACGAATGTGTACCTCTTTTAGAGGAGTGTAGTTGTCAGCACACTCATCATTTGTAGTATGCCATTTATTGCCATGGCTGTTTGGTTATCTGTGCAGTTTTTGCCACCTTTACACTCAGAGTGAAAAAAAACTAGAATTACCTTGATGTATAGCTACAGCACTAATTAAGAGCCTAGCCTCCAATAAAAGGCTAATGGTATTATGTAGAAAAATATAATGTGTCTGTAATCAATCTTGAATTTAAGCTTTCGTGACTGCTTTGGTTCTTTCAGGCTTTCCCACCTGATGACGGACGCTTGTGTTGCGCCCGAAACGTCGTGATTAATTTTATTTTATACCTACGTGACTTTACCGAAAGAACCAAAGAGTATGTCTGTAATCAAGTGAGCTCTTTTTAGTATTCGTCTCCATCAGCAATGCTGTGCTACTGGTGAAAGTTCCACTTTCTGACGGAGGAGGCCGTTTCACAGTGAACCTCACCTTATCAATGTTGATGCAGGTGATGACGCTGGTTAAGCTTTTTCATGCCTATCAGTGAAATTATTCAGACAGTTATCCATGAATAAATGCATATTAAAACACGCAGGTAATATGATTAATTTAGCGTTTCCATGATACCACATCTGGGCGCCTCTTATCGACAGATGAACAATAGATGTAATAATTATCATTGTGTATTTATATTGTGCCCTTTATGCAGAGACGTCCCAAATAGCTTTACGTCTCATCTCAAACGTTTGAAAGGGCTAACCCTGTGGGCACAAGGTGACTCAGTACCTGGATGTGCAAATAGGGCATTAGTCTCGACAGTCGATTGCTATCCCAATTAAGTGATTTGCAGGTAATTTTCTAACTTGCCAAAAATGTAACTCAGCGCTAGCATACAATGGCCTACTCGTCTCGAATGACATCAGGGTATTTTTGACACTAGTAAGGGTTGTCACGTAAACAGAACGTGGCCATTTCGTCACTAGAACAGCACACCGGTGTGTTGGAGAGCCAAGCCACAACATTTACAACCCTTACTAGTTGGCTGTGTAGGGTGGTGGCGGGTTTTAACGACACATTTATATATTTACGCGATCTAACCCAAAAACCTCTTATGGATGATTTTGGTCGCAAAAGCCTACGTGTTAATGTTACAAGTATTGAAATAATGTATAACGAAATCCTTTTTCTTTGCACGTGATACACATTCATGTTGCACAAATTTAAATAACATACACTGTCATTAACTAACATCTGTCATAAAGAGCTTCATAGCTCATCGGATTCTTGGAGTTTAATTAAAGATTCCGATTCTGTATGTGAAGAAAATGACGTAACTTTTGATCAATTTACTCGTCTCACTGCACGATTCCAAACTCGAAGTGAACGATCGGATTATACTCCTACTGTGGATCACAGCACATATATATGGGTAGACAGTACATTACTGTGAAATCACGTAAATTATGAGTGCGTTTAAATGTAAAAACCTTGATACCACACAATGTGGTATGTGTGCCCTGAAAAGAATATGTTTAAATATTAAATCTCATCAGTAAACAATTTTTTTTTAAATCACTGCAAGTGTGAAAGAGAAGTCATTGATATGACGGACAGGCTTTTTTTCAGAACAGAGGAATTCTCAGCATCTGTTGACATGGCTTAAATTATACATTTGATAGGTATTCAGCCGTCCCATTGTTTTCTAAGCCATTGTCCCAAAGCCAATGTCTAGCAGCCAGCCTTGCAGCACTATCGTATCCAATTTCCACAAAAGGGGGGACCCTTCAGCTTCAGTCATGTTGTGCCCAGAAACTAAATCGTGGCGAATGTAATTCGTACCAATTTGACAAGAAAATATGTTTTGCTCATGTACCATGTCAGTGGGACAGCCTCTTTATCATTTATAAGGGATTAGACTATGTAATCCATTCAGCAAAGCTGTTTGTTATATTTGTTAATCATGGTTGGTGTTACTGATAAACACATTTTAGTTTCTATTAACTTCATGACCACACATAAATGGTACATTATGTAAAGCATCTCATACGTTATACATTTTTTTATTACAATACCTGATATGAACACTTAAGTTTACATGAGCATGCGGACAAAAACCTGGGTTTGATTTATTCACAACTTAATTCTCAACATTCTTCGCGTATTTTTAGCGCGTATGGAGGGGTGTGCATGCCGGAGCTGTAACTCAAAGTGTGAAGTGTGTGTGCGCCAAGTTGTGAGCATGTTGCCGCTGTTGTGCGAAACAGGAGGTGAGGTGAGAGGGTCAAGCATGAGCTCATCTATCGGCAATAACCTCTCCGAGCTGGACCGGCTGCTTCAGGAGCTCAATGCGGCCCAGTTTAACTCTCCCCCATCGCCGCAGAGAGACTGCCTCATCTCCGGTACGCGATGCATTGCAGCACAGCAACATGCACCAGCACTCAACAATAATAAAATATTTTAAAATACTTAAAAAAAAAACACGCTTTAATGAAATGTACTGTCCGAGCTGCCCCTCCCCCTGCCTCTTTCCTTCATCGCCCCTCCCCTCCTTCCACATGCCCCGCCCCTGGGCGTGGCTCCCCGAGGCTTGCCGTGACGTAAGGGACCACGTGGTGATTTACAGGAAACGTCAGTTGAGCGTGGACAATTAGAGCCGTTAAAAAGATTGTTTAAATATATATATATATTTTAAATTTTAATGATAGAATATCGTGTTGTCATCAGTATGACATAGCTATACGAAGTTTGCAGTCGATAGCACATTGGGAAGTGTGTAAAAATTGAGTTACAAGATTTCTTTTTTGAGTATACAACAGAAGAAAAGAGTTAAATAAAAGCGTGTAACAATAAAAAGGTTAACGTGTAGCCCTGCTCAGAAGACTTCTTTACAATTCCGGCAAATCGCCTGATGACACTGGTTGTAATCGCCAGGGAAACTTCGTACTCGAATTGTAAATGTTGTGGGTTTACTCTCCAAACACACTGATGTGCTGAAATAATAACTAATTAGCACGTTTTGTTTATGTTACAAACCTTGCTAATTGGCTGTGTCGGGTGGTGGTGGGTTGGTGATACATTTATATTTATGCTATCTAACCCAAAAAACCTTTATTATGGACAATATCCATAATATAGTTTTTTTGGGTATGATCGCGTAAATTTTAGTGTCGTTAAACCCGCTCTGTCAGGTGGTGTCGGGTTTAACAACACATTTATATTTACGCAATCTAACCCCAAAAAGCAACCTATATTATGGATAATATTGGTCACGAAAGACTGCGTGTGAAATGGACAATATTGGTCGTGAAAGCCTACGTGTTTAACTGCTCATTGCCTGCTCACGCGGCTGCTGGCAGAAGGGCTTCCACTGGAGGAAGCCATAGAGATCCCCTCCAGAGGATATGTTGGCCTACTCTTCCTCACACAGGCCAGATTTCTAGGAAGAGGTGCGAGTACCCACACTTTACCCCACCACATGCGCCCCCTGTTGTGTTGTGTTGCCCATTTATACTGCAGGGTGGACAGAGGCAGGGGAATTGAAGAAACTTGCTCTATTTGTTTCAACTGCCGAGGGAGAATGATCCGAAGACCTTTGGATTGCAAGTCCAGTGTGATAATCATTTGCCATGGCAGCTTATATTAGAAATAAGGAATCAATTATTTCGAATTCCATCCCTCTAATCCTTACTAATATTTCACATTGGTATTTGTTGTGTAATTTGTTGCATTTTGAATTGGCACTCCCCTTTTCTCCAACTACGTCCTTGGTTGATATTGACTTCATAGGACGTGAATGTTTAACATTTTGACGATGTTTTAAACCAGCTTGAATGTCAGCACAAATCCAAACAGTCGAAATGATATGCCCTAACTTGGGAGTTCTCGGGCTAACAACTCACCGGCCAAATATGGCTCGCAGCACCCGTGGTATTTTCTGTGATGAAAACATCACGTGACGCATAGGCTCTGTCCTGCTCTGGGAAGGGATGGAGTTGAAGTGAAATGGATAAAGTCATCATTTTAGTTTCAAGGCCAAAAAAGTAATCACCATTGGTAAAACCATTCATCACAAGTTTAAATATACACAGTTGGCATATGCTGCCATAAATTTGACAGTGCCTTTGATGCGTGGGTGCTAAGCATGGTTGTCGAGATGACAGTTATTTCTGGCACAACACTTGCAACAGAGGTCAGACTTTCATCCATAAGTTTGCTTCAAAACAATCTGGAATTTTCAATGGCAGAATCCTCAAAAAGAGACAAGTCTATGTAATTGTTCATTCCAATAATGAACATTTTGTAGATTGTGAGTTAACAATTGAAAGTAATCACATCTGGAGGTTCAATGTCAAGTAAATATTTGGGATATGTCCCTTCAGTGCCGTGAAATTCAGAACAAAACTTTGTGAATGGAAGACATTCATCATTCACTGTCGTGGAATAAATGTCAATATAATTGCTTATCAACGCATTATAATTAATGTACTCCCTGATTTAACGATATATTGTTTTATTTATCCACTGTATATATATATCCACTGTTATAAATAACACTGTACGCATCGTTCCAACGATGTGAATACAACAAATGGAATTATAGTTAAAATGTAAGACAAATAAGTGAACTGCGCTAACTCTACCGTAGCAACTACAGTGATACCTCGGTTCACAAAGTTAATTCGTGAACTGACTCTGGTCGCGAACCGAATTGGTCGTGAACCGAGGCACATTTTCCCATAGGGTTCAATGTAAATCCGGTTAATCCGTTCTGACCTTTTTTTTTGTTTTTTGAAGCACAAAAATATGAAACAAATTACAATACACATTAGTACTGTACAGTATAGCAATGTATAAAGAGAGAACACTAAGCTTGCTTGAGATGACTTCAGTAAGCACTCAAACGGGTGAACTGTACAATACAGTAAGTACAGTATTGTACAGTCCAGTACTGTATGTGCTAAAAAGCACACCAAAAAGCAAAAAGTCACTGAAAGTGTCTTCACAGTACTCACAGTACTTCTTTCTGTATCTCTTCTTCTCTCCACGATCTTCCTACAGGAAGTCACGACCATGTGACAGCCTGGAAATAGCATTAAAATGGCCGCGGCTCCTGTTCGTGAACCGAAGTGGAGTTCGTGAACCGGAGCATTTTTTTATGAACTTTTCTGTTCGTGAACCGAGTTGTTCGTGAACAGAAGCGTTCGTGAACCGAGGTATCACTGTACTTGGGGTGCACCATCCATCGCGTTGGGTCGTGTAATTGGAGATCGCGCAATCTCAGCTTATCCGATCTGGCAGTTCAGGAGATCGGCTCAACAATGGTCCGATCGGAATTGATCGGAACGAAAAGAGGTTATCAAGAAAAGTGTTGCATCGGATTTTTGTCCAATCTATCCTTTAAAAAAATGTTGTTACACGACTTGATTTGACACACAGCAAAACTGTTAAACTCTTATATAAATTACATTCAACAACTATAATCGTGTTAATTCACAATGAACATTGAAAACAAATATCTCAATACTGTATCAACATCATGATTACATTGTTAAAAAGTTTACAATAAATAATACGTAATAGTAAATGTATTAGACAGAGAAAATGTATGTTATGTTGTCCTGTCTGGTAGAATATTGTAATTCAGATTTCTTTTTTTCAACCCCCCACCTCCACTTATGATGCACCGAAATTACGGATTCGGTCTTGCTGAACTGCAGAACGCAAAACGCCTTGTGTTGCGGATGACTGAGGCTAGGGGTTGTTTGTGCGCTGGGAGAGGCATCTAGCGGTCATCATTTGAAACTCTATGCCCCGCCCTTTCAAGTGGTAAGAATTTCATTCATGGGCGGTTCGTGGTTGCAGAGATATAGCGATTTCAAATCTGGTCCATCTTTTTGAAACACCCTGTAGATTGTATTTAATTAATCAATCCAAGTCTATACAGGTTTCCCTTACTTTATGCAGTAAATGGATGACAGGAAAAGGGCACACAAAGGGAAAATAATTACCTGACACATTGACCTAACTTATAAATGTGTTCATCTCATCGGCCAGCTCATAAGGTAATAATTGACAACATGGGTTCCTCTGAATCTCCTCAGAAATGAAATAATATGTATGCTTTGCACTCCCATAACATGGGTGACCTGTCAATATAATGTGGTAATCTTTACATAGAATATGGAATGTTTCTCATTCGTCATATTAGTCTGCAGAATAAATAATTCGATTAGGTTTGCAAGCATGCACCAGTAATTTTATAATGAACAAGACTCGCAATGTATACATCGAGCACAGTCACCGTTTCCCAGCTGATTCTTTTTTTTAAGGTTGACATTTGTAGAATAACTGAATTTTACTACAATACGTTTCAGTATTTCTCCAGATATCCGCACATATAACGTGATTTTCACAGCATTATTGCTAAAATGTGCAAATTGCTGGCTCTTTGTCACGTGGAAATACGTATTATTATCACAAATCGTGTTGCCATCTCCAAAGAAATGTCAAGGTTTAAAATTCATGTCATTCACTGAGCATTTATTAATTCAATTGGATAATTTTTACATCTATATATAAAACGAAAAACCTGCGTGCTGCATGGATTGTTCAAACGGTAAAAGTCAATTGAACAATTCGAATTCTAAACAAGTAGCCAAATGTATGCATGGGTTGACAGTTGCATATGAACCAGGATGGTGTGAAGGCTCCCACACATTCATGACTGCGTTTTACAAGCATTGTAGATGGGTGCTGCACATGTGTTGTTTATATTCGGGACTCTACTTTTTCCGCCTGTGACCGCCTGCCAACTCAAACACGCACGGTAAAGCAACAGTACCGCTGCAGTTCTGAACCCTTTCTGCAAGCAGCAGGCGCAGCAGAAGGGCCTTAAAAGGGCACATATTTAAGTCACTGCTTTACGCTATGATGGGTGATAAAATGGGCATGAGCAATGCATTGCCACGGCTGTAAATAACCTCCACACACGACACGGCATATACTAGTATATACAGTGCAGTCAGTTTATTTACTTTAGTTAAAGCCAGGAGGGAGACCATTTGAACTTAGTTTTTCAAGTGAGTCCTGGAACATTGACGAAACATAGTACAGGCATAGAGGGAGCACGCAAAGCATCTTTATGCAAACCCATGTCGTTGAAACTAAATGCATATGCATGTATGTATGTGAAAGTATTGAAATTTGGCAGACATTTTTTTTGTAATAGAGCTATTCGAATTTACCAATTGCAGTAGCATTTATCAACAGTAACTGACTATTTTTATTACATTTATATGCTTTGGAATGGTGCAATGAATTTCAGAAAGGCAAGTAAAATTGCGTGTACTGAAGTGCATGATGGCCATTGGTAGCTACTGGTACTGAATAAAATACCCATTGTGCTTGACTGTCACTTGTGCTAAATGCATTGGAAGCATGTGGCCAACTCAATCTGGCTTGGTGGTTAAGTACAGTAGTTAGATTGCTCTTTCCGTATTCATAAAATTGTGACTTAAAAGCCCCATTGGGGGGATGAACTCAATTCATAATCTCTCGGGTTAAAATAAGTACCACTTTGGAAAGTCGATGTGGCTGTGGTGTAATGGTTGACTCACCGGGCTTGGAATCCAGAGGTCACCGGCACAAACTCCTCCGGCCTCTGTCCACCCAAGGGCATCACTGGGTGCACCACAATTAATCGGCCGGTAGGTCGTGTGAGGTGCACTAAAGCATTGGTCCTCCCACCGGTTCCAGTATGCCCGGCCAGCGGTGAAGAGTACGAGAAAATACTCTAGAGCTCCCTCGAGCTCCTTCTGGTGGATGCCCTTCTGTCAGGAGTGGCTAGAGCAAGAGATTGCAGGGCTGCATCTTTACCATCGAGAATATACGGCGGTGGTTTTGTGGTCCGACTGGAGAATTTCATAAGCATGTGCAACTTCAAGTGCTGGCACAGGGCCACCAACAAAGATGCCCATTGTCCCACTCATATAGGAGCAGGAAGACATTTGACTTAAATAAATGTGAAACTTGGCAAGTAAATTAAGATTTTGCTTCTGCACATAGCTAAATTAATGGTTGCTGCCCGGAGGTAATATATTAGTGTCTGCTTTAATAGCAATGCATGGGTGAGCAGAAAAACACAATTATTCTGAGTGGAAATACAAAAGTCAATTTTGGGGTCAACAAATCTGCTTCAGGATATCCTGATAAGATCAATCAAACACTAATATATTTGTTTTTTCAAGTTGACTGCGATTGGACATTGGAATATATATTTTTTTAAACCCTGAACCACTCAAACAAAAAATTAGAATAAGATTCTAAAGATATAATTTGGCAAAACAAAACACCGCAATGCTATCAAGCTTACATTCATTACTACTATAATGAGCCAAGGATGTCTGTTTGTGTGTAACGTGCGTGACGTCACTCCACGTGCCGCACCCCCCCCCCCTCATAATTAATATTCATGAGCGGGTGGATTTCTACACTCGCGCAGAAGAAGGTCGAGCGGAAATAATTCGCTTTAAGTTTGAAGTTTCTTTATTGAAAGTGAATCTAATAAATAATTCTACGCAGCAACAAAGTGGGTTTGGTGTCTTTATTTATATATTCAGCACTTGGAGACAAAAGTTAAGTCTAATTCATGCTTCTACATTATGATAAAATAGACATTTCTCGGTGATTTTCCAGCTATTGTATCGAATTCCAATTTATTTCAACCCCAGCAACCAAAGGCAGAAGAGAATAAAGTATCAGAGCAGTGAATTTGAACAAATTGAAGGTCAGTTATTTTCAGTGCTACGGTGACATGAAGTGAGGTGTTTTATGACATAGTTTTGTGCAAGAATCATTGCCATTAATGCAGTGCTACAGTAAACTGCAGGTGAAGTGTTTTACGACTTCGTTTTGTGCCAGATTCACTGCCATTTAATTTACACAAGATACAATTATACTCTGCTCAATGTTTTCGTAAATATTACAGCTTCCTTCCTAGGACGGGCAAACAAGCTAGTATATGATAATTTTACACTGTTGTGTATCTGCTGTCAATCCCTCTCTCATCTTCTATTTTAATTTTCTCTCTTCACTACTCTATCCTCTGCTTCTCTTCCCTGTCTTATATCAAAACTAGGTTCGTCTTTAGATCCATTATTCGAATTCTGGTTTAGTTTTTGCTATGTTTACTGTTTTTAACATACAATTAAAATAAAACACGGCTCACAAACATCCACATTTCTTCGCCGTGCAAAACAGCAGACGGAAGCAAAGCCCTCGCCGTCGACTCCAGCCATGGCTCGGCTCAAGCTCACAGCATGGACCCCAGAGTGATGGAATCGCAAGGCAGAGCGGCCACAGAGGGCCTTCGGGAACACGGCAGTGTTGGCGCCTCGGTGCCACCTCAGCAAGGGTGAGAGAGAACGGCGCTGCTGCCGCCGCAAGCAGTAACTCTTACGCGTACGTTCGCACGTGTGTGAGCACGTGCATACATCATCTGGTTCCGTAGGATGGTATAAATAAGCGTCATCGTGTCTGAAGACGGTACGGGTCTGCCCAGGCACGGCGAGAGTGGCAGGAAAAGGGGGTGCAACTGAATTGTTTGGACGCCTGCTAAATAAGACAATACAATTGAACTAATCCTAATATCGCCTTTTTTTTGCATGGAGTGACAGCAAAAAATATTCTATAGTTAGGACTTGATTTGAAGTAATTCTATTGTTTGACACATTAAAATAAGCTCATGAAAGGCCTATTTCAGAATTTATTTTTTCTTAATATTAATGTAATTACATAATGTTACATGTATTCATACAATCACGAAAACGGAGACAAATCGGTAATAAATAACTGACAATCTAAACGATTTATATGATATATTCTAAATGTAGGGTACATGGCCATGTCATTTTGTGATTAATGTCTCTGCCACCTATTTTATTTTCAAACAATATTTTTCATCTGGTCTCTGCCCCGGATAAAATATTGCAACGGCGTTCGCGTCGCACACATTAATTTGTTGGGTACGATTGAGGCCTAGGCAAAATTTTCTCCTTTTGACAACGGTCACGGGCGATGGGAAGGAATGGGGGGGCTTCCAGCAGAGATGATGTACCGAGGCCCCAAATGTGTCTCAAGGGGGCTGATTCTGTACATTTCTTGGACTATTGATTTACCAATACGCTGATGCCTTTTAAAATAGCTATGATGTTGTTTCAATACATTTAATGTTGTCCTGTGTACACATCACAGAATCCCCAAGGTAGCAGAGCATCACATCCAGAAATCTTACAACGTCTTCCTGATTGCTTCACCTACATGCTGTCACACGAATGGTGCATTTACTGTAAATCTGTTTCAGATGTGCGAATTCATATCGAAAACCGTACTTGTTTACGGCACATTGGGCATCAAGCCTGGGTAGCAACTGCAATATCCTTTTTTGTACGAGAGGTTTTGTTTGCATATCATCGTGATCATAATTTTTTACTCGGTGGCCTCCACAAAAGTTCCTTCATCAGCCCATTACGCTTCTCGTTTTATTTCCTCTCGTAACAAACGTAATCTCCAGCTTTCGCGTCGAGCATATTTGCCATGCTGTTGACGCCCAATCCGACAATGGCTTGACAGACCACCGTCTCACTGTGCACTCTTGACACGGTCTCATTTTCGATTGGTTAAAACTTTCTTCAGCTCCATGCACCCAAAACTGAGATTCTCACCGACAAAAAGTAAGCTATTGATAAAGCCTCCACTTCAAATGGGCTCTAAGTTCCAACATCAAGATAGCAATTGTCGTTGATCCCGAGCTGTCGTTCTCCTACACTGACCACATCCACTACTTCATTACATCCTCTTCTCCTGAGGTATTTATGCCAGCGGTTGACAACCTTTTCGATTGTACGGGGACCCCCTTTTCAACCACTAAACATTTTGCGGACTGTTTGAAAATTGTACACTTCCTTGGCGAGGATGTTATTTTTTTTCCCGCGAACCTCCTGCAATAACCTCGTGGACCACCAGGGGTCCGCGGACCGCTGGTTGGGAACCGCTGATCTATGCCTTCATCACTGCTCAACTCGACCGCGTACTTCTCTCCTCTGTGACCTCCCAAAAAAATCTCTAATCTCCTAACTCCAGATGATTCAGTATGCTGCCACCACACTTCTCACATTGGCACTCATAAAAGAGACCACATCTCCTCGGCAATCAAATCCCTCCACCGACTCTTAATCTAGCAGCGGATCAAATGAGAGATTGACTTTCACCATCTTCTTGGGAATCCATTACTCACCCCAACCAACCTCACCCACCTCATTTCCCCTGCTATGGCCCACGTGCTCTTTGCCTCCATAAGCATGGCCTCCTGTCGAAACCGCCCGGCAACCTCTTGCTCAATGGGAGGTCAAGCCTTCTCTGCAGCTGCTCCCGGGGTCTATAATTCCCTACCCATAGCTCTCCACTGCAGACACCCCCCCCCCCCCACCCTGTGCGGATCAAGGCTCTTGCCTACGACTGACCGTTTCTTGTCTGCCAGGTGTTCTCATTTCTACCTGCAAGGTGTTCTCATACCGTTGTTTGCTCTCCTTCCATATTTTCCTGCCCTCTAATGCCTACCTGTCTCCTCTCTGAGAAGTGTAAAGAAATACAAAGACGGAACATTTATAATAAAAAATCCCCTCCTATCCTTCAACTGCCCCGACGTACTATTTGTACAGTGTCTCTGGACACATGACTCCACATGCAAAGGCCGCGAGCATGCTTAAAGCCACTGCACGCCGTTATCTTTATTATCATCATTTCCATTATCAGTGATTCCCTATGCAATTTTAGACACACCGCTTCAAATGCTAAAGGAAACACTCAGCAGTTCCGTGCAGCAGCATTTGCTCTCTCTCGCCCGCACACGTCTTGATGCATTTGCATTGCTCCATCTGTCATCTTTCTCTCGCTTGTCCGTATTCTCTGTTTGTCTTGTTCAGCCTGTATGTTTGACCTCATGGATCCCTTCTCCTGACCTTGTGTTCATATGCTTTATTGGTTGCTCGGGCTTTGCTAAAGGAAAACCGTAATGTGCAGCCATTTGTGAATCCACTGCTGGATGAATGGTTTCCCCAACACCGTTTCTTTGAATGTTTTTACTTTTTACCATACTTCACACTGGCAGTGCAGCCTGGTAAAGAGGCCACCCTGTACCGCTTCGGGCATCACTCAAACGCAGGTCCCCGGGACCACACAGCATACTGTGCTAACCACAACGCCACCACTTAACTCCACAGCTAAACAGTTCTGTCGCCTCGAACATGCTTTGGGGGCAGGAGATGGCGCGGATACAGACGTGTCATGTCACCTGCTCATCACTCGAGTCACGGTCACGCTCGTTTGCACCTGAGGGCCTCATGGTTTGTTCCTCCGTTAAGAATGGAAAGGACAAGTATAAACTGTTACCCCTTTTATTTTTAGCACGAGTGTGTTTTAAAACATTACCCCAGGCTCGATCAACGTTGGGCCCAGCGCTCCTGCTACGACCCATCTGCTACTCCATGGCCACGGGCACAGTTTAGAAATCAATAGTAAATACAATTAATTGTCCAACAACGTTTAATGTAAGCATGAGTTTGGTGATATTCACTTAAGTTAAAATCGATTGTGAAGTTTGGTCAAACAAACCCCCCACCCCCCATAATCTTCATCCAGAAGTCGATTGATCATGGCGGATGATGGATGTGTGGATGATGGATTTTTTGACATTAACGTGGCCACAGAGTTGAACTCTGTTCGTGGTGTCACGGCGTTAACGTCCCATATCCATTTTGACTTTGTGACGTCACGGCTGGTTCTATTGTAGCCCTGGCCATATTTCACGTGCTACTAGGAAGACACTGGAGCTATGCACTTTTACATCTAAATTGAAAATGATTTTCCTTAGAACTGATTTTGTGTTTAGTTTGTTGTCCTTCCCCCTCTCCCGCACCTCCGATTAACACGGTTGGCTACATACGGTGCGAAAGAAGTTCAACATATACGTACGTACGTCACACCGAAGCTCTTGGGGCAGGTTGAGAACCAAGTCGGGATTGCTTGGCTGAGGGCCAGCCACTGTGAAGGCGCCGCACGTTCTTTAGCCCGGCTCAGTGCCCAACTTATATCCCTTTTCCACTGACACATACGAGCGCTGTGCTGGAACTGGGCCGAGCCACGCTCAGGCGGGCCAGGAGGTGCAGGTTGTATTTGCACTGCGAAAGCCAAGCATTCCCGTTGGCGTCAAGCGTAATGTGTGACGTTGAGACACACGTAGATGGTGCATTGACGCCCTAATTGGTTTATCTTCTTCATAGTGTACTAATTGATGTCACATGCATTTACATGCCCTGACCATGGCCCTGCTTGGCATCGAGGTAGATTCAGATGGCTTGAGAGGCCAGCGTGTATCATGGTTTGGTTAGGCTCCACACAGTAAATAAGCAGTGGAAAACCACTCGTATCGTGAGAGCCTCGTGCTGGCTCGGCTCAATGTACATCTCCCCCTTTCACGTCGTTTCTCAAATACGTCGTCGCTTTATTATTAACACTGCGACCTGATTTGCATCGCCTCAACCCCAATTATGTCGCTGACAGCATTGTCCGTCCGTCGCCCCTCAGCCTTCACCTCTATCTATCCAGTAAATCGTTTTGATTTACGTCGTTTTGATATTCGTCGTCACCCAACTCAGGAACGCATCTCCCAGGTAAACCGGGATGTTGCTGTGCCAGTGGAAAATGAGTAATCGAGCCAGCACAGTTCCCATTGGTCATGAAAACATGGCATGAATTTTCTTTTATTCAGATATGCAGCCATTGTAAACTATAAGCTGTGTAGATTGGCCTTGGTAACAAGGTTTAGGAAAAATAATGGATTTTCATGAGAAAGAAATAACTTTTCAATTTACCGCATGTAAAATTCCAAGGCATATGAAACAATCTTTCATTTACAGAATGCTTCATATACATCTCCAAGAGGCATTAAGCAGCATTATATAAATGCTCAAGAATAACTTCTTTCGTACGACTTAATAGAGACTTTGTTTGCATAAATGTAATTTACTCTTCAATCGATATGAAATCTCATAATAAGTTTGAATGATTACTGATGAGAATCGTGCAGAAAAAGAGAAAACCGAGCTTTTAAACGCCATTCACTTAATGTAATTAGTTTTTTTATGTGGTGGTTGTGTCTAAGAGCAACTGCATTATTTATTCATGGCCTGCGATGACAGTACTGAAGCTTTTAAAGATTGGCCTGGGACTTTACAAGACTTTACGTTCAAATAAATCATAATTTCCCCATTTTTTAATATCTATAAGGGAAACATCAGTGCCGTTTTATGGACAATCCAATGTCGAGAACAAAAAAAAGCATTTATAAATACAAGAAAAAACTTTTTAGCACACTGACAAGTTACATCCTATTTCTTTCAGGGGAGAAAAATCAGCCACTTTTCAACGTGCATATGCCCTTGGAAGTATTTTGTTCGCTATAATAACAGTCGTGCTCGTGCCAGGTGTGCGCAGTAAGCAGTTGGCGGTGTGTAGGGTTGCAGCAAGGCGGTGGGGCTCGAATAGCGGCTCTGCCTGGGAAGATGGCCTCAACTGACAGGGCAACCGTAAATCGTATATATATTTTAAATGTAATATCCCCGCCACTCAAGAAGGTATGAAAACATTATATACAATAAAATAAAATGCAAATACAGTGCAATAATGTTTAAGCAAAAGCCAGGAGAACATAGTGAGTCCTGCACTCCCTCCTAAACACACCGAGGCTTGTAGCGTGCAAGATCCCACCATGTCCATCCGGTGCTCACCGAGCTGCATTGGCTTCCGGTTGCACTCAATACACACAAAGTGCTCGCCACAAATGAACCACAATACCTTGCTGATCTCGTAAAGGAGCATGAACCATCACGCGAACTCCGCTCATCCTCGCAGCGGCTTTTGGTTGGCCATCGAACAAAGACGGTCACTGCATTGCACGCCTTCAGATGTGCTTCTGCGGCCGTCTGGAACGCTCTTCCTTCCAATATTAGGAAACCATTGGAGCCATGCACTTTTAAATCATTAAGATTGAAAACTAATTTCTTTAGAACTGCTTTTTGTGTTCAGTTTGCTGTTCTTCCCCCGCACCTCCGATTAGCATGGTTTGCTGTGTATGGTCCGAAAGAAGTTCAACATATGTACTGTACATACAGGATGTCTCTCTAAGTTTTTGGTCTCTCCAGGCCAAAGATGACTTCAGGTGTACACTGGTAACGAAATCATAAGGAAAATACCGCTGTATGCACGGCGCTGTTGTAAATGGGCCAATAGAGATGAGAAAATTATGATAAGACATCTTTCTTCCAGTTTATTTTGTGTCAGTAATACCGGTGGTGCTGTACGGTAAGCATACGAGTCTTTTTTATGAATGCGAGTGTTCATTTTAACAAGCTACCCTGATATTAAATATAATGTTCATTTTTCAAGGTAAAGCAAACTTGAGAAACACATTTGAATAGGAAAACATGTCAGAGCCCCTGTGTTCATTGTCAAATGTATTTTTTATAAAGGGCCATGTGTGAAATTGGACACGGATTAATATTTACCAATGTGTCCAATTCAAATACAGTTTTAATTTCACAGTAAATTATTGGAAATCCGAGATTAGACTTAACCGTGGCAGAGCAATATTTTTTATAATAATAAAAAGGTCATGCGGTGCACTTGAATGATTCCTTTTGGACATCAGTGCTTCTCTCATATAATCCTTCAAATGCCATATTCTTCAGTTATAAATTATTATTGATTTAATTCCACTCGTTTCGTCATTCATTCCCTCCTCCCATTTCGTTCATTATTGCTCTGCCTCCACAATGTCTTCCCTCATAGATGCCTGTCCCTGAAAAGTCTTCTTGCAAAAGAGCATGGTGCTGAAAATGGCTAATAGGGCTTGTTTCTAGCATTAGATTACATGGCATGGATGGATCTTAAGAGGGGAGGCATGACACGTGCTGCCTTAGTAAAAATGTCATGCCTTAATAGATACAACCTCGCGTTGTGTTCTCTTTTATAGACATTTTTAACCCTAGGTCTTAAAACTTTACAGCTAATAGGCAACACCATAGAACCTAATATGTACATGAAGACGTGAATGTATGAGCAAATTGTAAAACAAAAAATTTACCATAATTGTGCAATATGCAAGTGCACGAATCAAAGTTACGTCATCAAATATTTCTTAAGGTCATTAACGCTATTTCGTTTGTATCTCAATCCAATTGAACCTGGTGAGGTTCTCGGCGGCTAGTTTTGTCCTGAATAACGATGAGTCAAAGAAACAGTATTATATTTTAATCATTAATACGTGCGTGCTGGTTTTTAATTCACCTTACCATTTAAATTATTGGAGTAAGCAATAATGTAAAAAAATGCTGGACATATCTTTGTAGTTCAGGTGTGTCAGCCAATCAGCAATACTTTGTTAGGCAATCTTTGTTTTAGTTCAATGTGTTGTCGGATTGTATTGCTTCTTGTGCAAGGACCTTTGTTCATGAGTTTCTAGGCTGTAGCACAGTGTACTTCCCCATGAATTCTGACATTTCGCCCCATGTTCTGGGAGCTTCTTAGTTCCATCAGGAACTGAGCGAAAGAGTCCAATTTCGTGATGAACGATGCGTGGTATAACCCAAACACACATCGGAGAGCTACACAGCGCAACCTACACAGTGATATAATTCTACTTTTTTTTTAGGTTTCAGCAGCTGTAATTAGCTGCTGATATGTGATGAAGGATACTCATTGCACTGTGCATTAATCTAGAAATGTGAACATCTGACATAGGGTAAAGAGCAGCAGGCTGAAGCGTGTTCATTTAGCTGTGGTTCAGTGAGCCATTAAATAAACCATTAAATAGAATTAATAATGTTTGTGCAATTTTGTTAATTATTGTGAAAGGCAATAAAGTTTTATTTCTACAGTAATACTAACATGAACTGACCAAGTGGTTCATTGGTTCGAGAGTCATGGCTTACAATGGGAAGGCCGCGTGTTCATTTACCAGGGTTAAACACAGTCCTTCATCTCTCGGGAGGGTAGATATTAAAAGGAATTCCTTCTTGTGGAAAGTCAACAATGGTTGTCCCATGGTTTGACTTCCATAGCAATGCAGAATTTCCGTAAACAACACGTGACTTTAAACAGGAGGTGAGGTTCTATGAAAACTCCTTTGAGCAACAAACCACTTCGTTTCTTTTACATATCACAGTGTTACCTAGATTTGTGGCTTTTTGTTTGGAATATAAACAAAATACAAGACAGGTTAGCCTAAACGTGGCTTGTGCAAATTACATCAGTAGTTCAGAAAATTTGGTCATCAACGTTTGGTAATCTTGAGAGAGAAAAAAACCACAACGTTCAGTTTCTTTTTTTCGGTCCATTAGTCACCTGAATGACTTGGTAAAATATTACAAATTTTGGGCCCCTCCTATAAATGTAAACTGCAACAATCGATTAGCCGCTGTAATGAGGTAATACAATGGTGGCACGTGTGTTGGTGAAGTTTTAAATGTGAAACTCTAAGAGCACTTACTTGTACGCATTCACTCCCCTGAGATATTTGTCCCCGCACAGAGAGAGTTTTCTGTGGCTGATTTTTCTTGACTCTCCTGTAAGAAAATTTGGGCTTGATCTTTGCTGCTGATATTTTATAGCATTGCTCAATGACCTATTGTGTGTTTATGGATTTTCTTTTTACACGTGGGCTTTTGCAGTATTTTTGGTTACATTTGGCTTTGGTACTTGGCTATAATGTGGCAAAAAGGGTTACGTGTTAACGTTTTGTTGTCGTTTGTGCCTTTTACTTTGGTGCCATTTATTTCTTTTGTTTATTTATTTTCCTGAAACGTCGATTGGGTTCTGTTCTAAAATACGTAAATAATAACTGTGGACATGCACTGAAGTAGCAGCCGTTACATTTTTCTTCATGTACCTGCTCGGGAGATTGTATGGTCATTCATGGTCTGTTTTCAACGTGTGTCTTTCAGTCCTCCCTCATCTGCTCAGATGTGCAATGCTGTTCCAGTTCACCAACCTTCCCGAATGTCTGCTTCCTCCGCCACCAGAGAGCTGGATGAGCTCATGGCCTGCCTCTCAGACTTCAAAATACAGACCAATGTAAGTATGCCCAATGTGATGGGCAGTCAGGCCCACAACAGACCTTGCAAAGGTCACAGTCAGAAAGTATATGAGAAAAGAAGTGGGCTCTCTGATGTGATAACGGGTTGTACCCCGTGTTAATTGGCATGGTGTACTTTCTGCCAAAACAATGCGCGGTGCAAGCCGAAGAGACACCGGAGAGTTATACAGCACAGGGATGAAAACCTACATGGGCGGGTTTACAGAGGGAGGGCCCATCAGGTGCCGTTAGGCTTCTGAACACCATCTCCACTCCTCGTGTAAACTTGGGTAAATTCTCCTCAATGCCTTTGGGCCCCTAAAAAAGAGATGCGCCAGAGAACGAAAATGTTCACGAGGGTCTTCCTCCCTTGTAGTGTTTGGGCCATATACAGAGGTCGCAAATGGGTTTTGATTCTTTACCCGTACCCGGCTGCACCAGGGTCGCAAACGGGTACCCGTACCCGTACCCGGCCGTACCCGTACCCTACCCGTACCCGGCCGGGTACGGGTAGGGTACGGGTATCGAGTACCTGATTGCGACCTCAGGGATGAAGCCATGTTGCAGGCGCGGGTGGGTTGATTCTAGGAACTTGAATTGTGAGAAGAGACAAGACGTTGGGAAATGAGTGACAAACGGTGACTCACCATTTTACAAGGAGTCATGTTTGCATAGACCACAATACCTGCAGTCATAATGCAAACAAAAAACATAACTCTGATAATGTGCACTGTCCTTGAAGTTGATTGGTCCACACCATGTAAGACTAGGCTCTAAGGAAAGCTGTCTCGGGTGTGGACCAATCAACTTCAAGGACAGTGCACATTATCAGAGTTATGTTTTTTGTTTGCATTATGACTGCAGGTATTGTGGTCTATGCAAACATGACTCCTTGTAAAAAGGTGTCATATTTTGTTGTCAGATAGAAGGGTAAACAACCAATTATCATATTTTTACTGGCAAATGAGGATCCCATGGTGACTCACCAGTGACTCACGGTCTACCCGTACCCGTACCCGGCCGCACCAGGGTCGCAAACGGCTACCCGTACCCGTACCCGGCCGGGTACGGGTAGGCGGGTATCGGATAGGGTACGGGTATCGGGTACCCAGTTGCGACCCTCTGGCCATATGTAAGCACGGTGTGAGGCTTTGAGAAAGGTATTCTGATTCCTCCATGTAAATCCCCAATACGTGCTTCACATCGCGTTCACGGCAAGCAACAAAAGCGCCGGGTGATGTAACCTCCCAGGTATCGAGATGCGTAATGCAAAACATATACGCCTTGTTCAGTGAGAACGTGCTGTGGTCAGGGCTCGTCGGTGCACAGCTCTGTGGAGCAAACTACAAACACCAAGCTGTCACAATGTGAAATCCTTTTCCTGGTGCGTTCAATGTTGCTTCAGTTGCTTTTCTCATTTCTTTGATCTCCGTGTTTTATTTTCTCTTTTAATATTCTGTTCTTATTACTGTTTCCCCGCTGTTCTGTAATCCCTTGTGCCGGCAGTTTTCAGCAACCTCTGATGAATGTATACCAGACGATCTCTCTCTTCTCAAGACAGACCTCGCGTCCACTGACAAGATTCTCTCAAACATGATAAGCACATCTCAGCCGAAGAGAAGTAAACTGCAAATGAAGGGCGTGAGGGGAAATTCGGGGTCAGACCTGACCCTCTCTGCTATGACTAATGGTCTTCACTTAAAGGTCGACGTGCCAGACATGCCATCCACCTCTCCCAATCTCTCCTCTCGATCTTCAAGCCCCCTTGAAGTTCTCTGCATTAACGAAGAGGCCCTATCACTTGACCTTTCAACCTCTGACATAAATAGCTCATCACCTGTGAATGCATTTCCTCTTACCCTCAATAAAACTAAAGACATATATAATGGACATAATGAGAGCTCAGTGTACACTATGCAAGGGAAGGAGATTCAGTGGGTCGCTCAAAAGAAAGCCCTCTCAAAACAATTGGATCGTAAAGAGCCACAGAAGGCGAAGGAAACCAATCGTGGTGATGTCATTTGTGATGTGCAGTCAAAAAAGAGCTCGCAAAATGAGCTCGTGTTGTCATTGACAGCTTGGGAACATCCCCTAAATTCAAAAAGCATGGACCCAGCAAAGCCAAATGTTCCATACACTATCAAAACAGATCAATCGTCAAGACAATATTTTGCTGAGAAGACAGCTGAACAAGGCATCGAAATGCTTTCCAATAAAATACTAGAGTCATCAGGTATTGTTGGCCCAGGGAATAAGATTCATAGTTTTACCGATTCCATAACCGCTGGAAATAAATGGCAGCAAAGCTTACAAGAAAGCGAAACTGCAGCAATATTACACATTTCAGATACCACAGTGACAAAGTGTTTGTCTTTTGAACAATTGGAAGACAAAAGTTCTGCACTTGCAAAGCTCCTGAATCCTGGTGGTTCTACATCCAACATCCCTCCACTATCAGAGTCTCAATCCAGCATGGTTACACAGAACCCGGGGCCTACATTGACTGGTTTCAACCAAATATCGGCAGTACCATCAGAAGGTGGTGCTAATTCCCCGGCTAAGGCTGAGTCACAAATAGTTTTCTCAGAATTTCCAAAAATGTACGTAAATAAAAATAGTGCTTCAACTGGAGATGTGGCCCTCTTTAAAGCAACAAATACTAGCTCTTTGTCAATGATTCCAGAGCCAGCTACGGCGCTGGCTGAACTCTCGCAGGTGAAAATTAACGAGCCACCAGAGAAAACAGCGGAGATCCCTGCAATGTCGTCTCTGCACAGTTTCACGTCGAATGCCGTAAGCGGATCCACAAGGAACGACCGCGCTCTCTGTGACGAAACCAAGAGAAAGGGCCAAAGTATCAAGTCTACCGTCAGTTTCGCTGGAAGCACATTCTCCATACAAAATGGATGTCCCACATGCTCAGGTCTTGAAAACGCTCTGCACCGAGTCAAAAAATGTTTTTCCATCTCCAGTGGACGCCATTAACATTGGAGGAGAGGTTTGTTCGATTATAGATGGCAAAGCTGATATTCCAGGCACTGCGGGGAACACAAGAAAGGATGAAAAGGAGAATATTCTTTATGATTCTGGGCATGAGGCAGCAGGAGATGCTATGGTGATCAAATCCGAGTCCTTTGATTTTCCTCCAACTCTGCCACCCGAGGGCATCAAGAAGGTTTCTGCATCTCGGCAGGCACGCTGCTGGCTCCCTTTCATTGGCACTCATGGGCTCGTAATGGCTGTGCATTCGTCTGACTTTCACCGCATGCCTGTTGTGAGCCTGCAGGCTGTGAGCACTTTACTAAAATGTTTACTCATGTCTCCTGTGTGAACTCCAACATTCTCCTTATATTTAAATGATCAATGTTTTGAACAATCTCACTTTTAACCTTTTATATACATAATTATTCAACTTTTTTTAGGTACGATTCATTAATCCTCATTATTTTGCAATTCATATTGCATTTTGATTAAGGGTGATTGGCAGTTCAGCTGCTTTGAAACCCATTATTTTCGAAACACAGTAATACAAATGGCATGGCTTTCTACTAACACAGATTTGGGCCTGATTACAAAGCATAATTTCTATGCATTTACATTTCACTTTTCCACCACAAGCACCTTATATTTACAAATGAGTTGATGTTTTGTTGTCACTTTACTTTCACTACCTGCAACTTTCTCGCTGTTTTTTCTTCTTCCTATTCTCGATACTCGTACAGATTAAGTTTGTTATTAAGAGAACCAAAGAGACCACCAATATTCATCCAATGTACAATGGTAAGCTACCCAGAAGGCGCATGGGACCTGTGATCTACAATAAGTCGATGAAACAGGACAAAGTCATACAGGAGCTGCAGAGCAGGCTGGGCATCTTCAAGAAGGAAGGGGAAGAAGCCAAGAAACCGGTGGACGAGTGGCTCACCGAGGGGGTTATCGTTATGTCTGAACCTATATTGGAACAAAAGGCAAGCATGAAATCACTTCAATCAACACGTGATTGCATTACCTGTTCAATTGCATGTAACAGTCACGTAAAAAAAACCCACACCCTTTTCATTGCAATTCTTGTTCTTTCCTTTCTTTCTGTAGAAAAAAGAAATGCCTTTACAAAGGAACTCTCCTGCTGTCACGATGCTCTCAAAAGCTTGTTCTCCTCTTCAAACACGAAAAGTCCTATTTGCTCCTGCTTTTCCTCCTCCTCCACTTCCACCAACTCCACCCCCACCTCCACCCCTACCACCACCTCCACCGCATCATCAACCGTCACCGCCACCCATCTCCAAAGCGGAGCCACAGTTGCCACCACCACCGATGCCATCAGAACCGCCGACCCCTCCCGAGCGTGCTTACCATCCACACCTGGAGCCCAGATCACCAACTCCACCACCACCGCCGCCGCCGCCGCCGCCACGTGAATCGCCAGAATTGGCCAAAGTTATGCTTCGCCTGGGCCACATCGAGGCCCCATCTCCGGCCGAACAACAAATCACAGCTGAGCTGGACTCCTTATTGCTGCAACTGCAACAGCCTTTGGTGTTCCCAGCTACGAGTGTCAGCAGAGCACCTCGAGCCAGGGTGTCTGTTGGCTGCCAGACTGACATCCCCTTTGATGAATCACCACAGGCATGCTGACTTGGTTCACCACTAGCTGTCATTATCCGTGCCGTCACAGCGATCTATCCTGATGAGAATGTAACTTGCACCATTAAAGAGCTCTTGCGGTATTATATTTGATTATTTACTTAAATTCTGATTATTATTATTTTTGGGAAATCAGTTTCCAAAATCTTCAAGCATAATATATTGCAGCAGGGGGTGGTGTTTGGGGCGGAGTGGTGGCGCAGTGATTAATACGTTTTTCTATGATTCTGGTGATTTTTGGGCTACATTTCTGGCCATGATTGTCGTCAGTGTGGCGGGCTGACGTCTGAATTGGTCGACGGACCACTCTGAGTTTCACCGTCCCGCACTTGCCAGTTTGGTGAGGTATGGTCATTACCGATATGGCATCGGGGGGTGGAAGTTTTCATCAGGCAGTGAATTGACAAAACGCTGTACATTTCATGTATTTATTTGTAAATAGCCGTAGGTAAATTATGGCATTGTAATGAAATGTAAAATTAAGCCTACGTTTAATTCGTGACATAATTATTGGCAATCGACCAACAATTATCCTCTGCCTAGTCTGGAGAGAAAGTTAAAGCATTTCTACGAGCATTTGTAAAACTATATATGAGACGATGACATGCACAAGTATACCGATTAAAATGTCCTGGGCATCACATTACAGACGGTAATGTGTTCCGGATTGTAGTGGGGGGGGGGGGGGGTCATTATTAGACATGGACTGCCAAGCAGCAGAAATGCAAAATTGTGTATACAATGCGCAAGTGTCTGCCCTAATTCGTGAATATGTTGCTATTATCGTTTGACAAGTAGCTGTCCCGTGGCACAACCCCTTAGAGTGGCAACAAATTGGACCAGAACCTGTGGTGTTGGGCTTGATTGTGTCATTATGATTATTTCTGCAAATGCAGCATTGAACCATCTAAGTCCTGCCACCACTTTATAATATCTCTGTGCCTTGCTGGTAATTGTCTGTTTTTTTTATTCCAGGCGCGGTCACCTACCCAGGAGGTCCAATTTACATATCATGAAGCCATGCCTGCTCCTTCCTATTCAACTGTCGAAAAGGCATGACATGCTTTTGTCATTTTATACACTGCAATATACATGCTATGTTTCGCAACATGAGATGCTAAAGAAGTAAAAAAACACATGTATTACAATAAATATTAACTCTTTGAGAAAACTTCCTTGATGTCATAACCATTTTTCGCAAAGCCGTGTTTGTTTATATTTGCATATTTATGCATGTCAGGCTTTTAACATTTCACTTTCTCAATTAACATCTGTGCATGCATGCCTCTTCTTTCAACTGTTGTACTGTGTATTTCAAAGCACAGCCTGTTTTGTACAAATCCACATGTTCCTATTTCACAGCTTCCAGAGATAGATCTCGGCGACGCTTTACCATCTCCTAAACTCCATTCTCCCTCCCCTCCTCCACCACCACTCATTCCAAAACGCCAGGCAAGTTCTTTCCAGTCACTTTCCCCTTCCGGTATGCTGCACGTGTTGAACAGCCAAAATTAACCGCCTGCTTCTTTTTTTTTTAAACAAGGCAAGTGATGGAATTGCGTTGGCATTTTGTACGTATATATATCAGGTGGCACCGCCGCAGCCAGCGCCGCAGCCAGCGCCACAGCGGGAGCCCCAAGATCCTCAGCCAGCTGCGGCCCCACCGCAAAAGCCTCCCTTGCCAGCCCTTCCACAGCAGGGCAGCAGGCAGCTGGACAACATGCTGGGCAGCCTACAGTCAGACCTAAACCGCCAGGGTATCCCTATCGTGGCGAAGGGGGTGTGCGCTGCTTGCCGCAAGCCGATCGTTGGGCAGGTAGGCGCGAGAGCGAACGTGCGTGACGAGCGGCAAATGCATTGTGTTGGCTCTGCTTTTGAGCTCGGCAGATTTTCAGCTCTATCCCGACAGGTGGTTGTCATATAGTAGGAGGGCACAGATATAGCACCTTGGAGTTTGTTACTTAGCCAGCGGCCCCACGCTTGCTTTCGAATGTTGGAGAATGGTGAGACGATGGCCTGTTGTAGCCTTAAAGGCTACTTACATAAGTAAAGGAGTGGTAGAGGTGGGTTATGGGGCAGGGGGTTTTTGTTGTGGGGGGGGGGGGGGCGGGGTTGCGTGGTGCGACACTGCACTACGAAACAACTACCTGACTTCAATTCCCAGCCACAGCTAACATCAGTTGGTGAGTGACACTTGATCCGGTTTTCGGGCCTCCTTCTTCACCAACCCCCACTGACAAGTGTGGTGAAGTATGATTAAACAACTCCTATGACCGGAAGGTGTGGAAGGTCTTCATCCAGTAATGGATTGACAAGAGGATTATAAATTCCTTTTTTTAACAGTACCATTGGGTCTATGAGGCACGTTATTTTTGCCAAGATTAAGGATTTGGTGTCAATATAGAATATTCTAAAGGCTGATGAGAGGATTTGTGATCTGAGCATGATCCAAATGTTTGCCACCTTGTAAAGGCGTGTATATGTGTGTCGGAGCAGTAGCATACTGGTTAGCACACTACACTATGAACCCAGCAGCCCAAATACAATTGCTGGCCACTGCAGTGGTGATTGTCTAAACCAGTTTTGGGCCTTCCCTATCTCAGTTCAACCGAAAACAACTACCTGATACGGTGTGTTAATATCAACACTGGCGATACAAATAATGGCCAGGTGCTGTGCTGGCCGCAACCAACGTCGCCCTCCGTGTGTGCCGTGATGGTCTTCATCGGTGCTCGCTAACAGCGCTTCCTAAACAGCCTGTGGAGGCTATGTGGGGTGGGGGTTGGGGGGGCGGTGTAGGGGCATGGTTGTTTTTGTCCTCGTGTATAAGGAGTTCACAAAAATATAAAGAGGTCCCTTGATCCGCACCTCGTGTATAAGGAGTTCACGAACATATAAAGAGGTCCCTTGATCCATACCTCCGATTAATATGGTTGGTTACATACGGTGCGAAATAAATTCAACGTACAAATGCCTACACACGATGTGAACATGCTGCTATTTTGCGTATAGATCCATTGACCTGTAACTGTTGCGGGTGGTTTGTCCTCCGTGTCTCGCCTGTGGCTGCCCGCACTCGGCAGGTGGTGACCGCGATGGGACGCACGTGGCACCCCGAGCATTTCGTGTGCGTCCACTGCCAGGTGGAGATTGGCTCGCGCAACTTCTTCGAGAAGGATGGGCAACCGTACTGCGAAGAGGATTACCACAGCCTCTTCTCACCCCGCTGCGCCTACTGCAACGAGGCCGTAATGGATGTGAGTATTAGACGGCGACTTGCACTTTCACTCTCAGACTGATTTCATCAGCTGCTACCACTTGCTTTTGAGCGCCTGGCGCGGGGTTGCTTAATTATCCAATTTTTACAATTTACCAGGCTGCGGCTTCTCTTATGTCATGATTGTCAGATAACTCATTACGCATAATTTAAATCAAAATGTTTGGTCCGGTATTCATGAATGTTCTGATTATATAGTTTTATTTTGAAGTAGATGCCGGAAGCGTGGCTGTATTGTTTTGTACAGAATTTTTTTTTTACTGACAATTTTGGCATGGATACACAATATTTTTTGTGTACCTCTGAAGAACGATTTCACATTACGCCTATACAGTACACATGGAATGAACATAAATGTGCGAAAATATAAATTATTTACCAATTTAGATATACATCTGAAAATATCTGTGGAAGTGTTATGAAGAAAACATTTCACGGCTGCTTTTCCATCCTCAGGGAGGGCTTCACAGCCATAGTATCAATTCATAAGTATGCTTCTAGAATGCTCTAAAATTGCTTTGTCTGTTGCCGTTGTGTAAAAGAGTTAGCACTCTGGGCTAGTTAGCAATCCAGAGGTCACCGGTTTGGTTCATTCTTGTGGGGGACAGCAGTTGAAACGGCGCAATTTACAAAAAAACCCTTCCCAACGCCGCCGCCTCTACAGTAGAGTTTGGCTACTACCAAGCTCTTCCAAGCGATCTGGTTAGTGAGGAAGAGTAGGCCCAAATACCATCTCGAGGGACTCTCAAGAGCTTCCTCTGCTGTAGAGCTTCTGTCAGCAGTGATGTGAGCAACAATGCAGGGCTGCACCTTTTATTAGATTTTTCCTGTATTTGTATTTCAGTATCCTTGACTGTTTAGTACTGAGCGTATTGGTCAGTTGCTCGATGTATGTGACGACGTGACCCAGTGTGACTTGTACCATGGAACATATTGTCACTAAACGCACCGCTCGCTTTTAACTCTTTAAACGCCGCAATGCGTTTTCCCTGGGCACTCGCACCAGCTGTATCCAATAAAGTTAATTGCATGATTGATGCTTTTCGA